AATCGGATCAAATCAACCCAGATCATATCTGAATTGACTCGATCCGAATTGCACTACCCGGCTTTAGTGTTCCCCCATTTATAGTAATGAATAGCTATTTTCTACTTGAGAAATATTTTGTTTTTTCAAAGACATCTAATAAATCATCAATTCTAGATAATAAAAATTGATTTCTCTTTATTACTTTATTAAGTTAAACTTTTCATTCTTTTTCTTTATTACTATAACTGGCACTGAGTGTTAAAGATATCGCGCTTAAAAAATATTTGAAAAGTTATCCAGTATTTCCTACATCTACGAAAACCGAATCGTATTGTCCGGCTTGATCCTTTGACATTTTCAAAATTGACCCGAACTTTGACCATCCGGAACACTAATCTGTATTCAGTTCTGTAGGATCCGATAGAGTCTTAGGTCCTACAAAATTTTTGTAAATAGAATTCAACTCAGCTTCCAGATGCGATATCGTTAACTAGAAACAGTTGCAATTGGATAATTACACATTTGAATTTTATATATATATTTACGGATTTATCAACATTTTTATTTAAACTTTAAAAGTATTCAATTAATTTTTGAATGACGGTATATTACAATTACAATATTTAATAATATTAACAATTTATTTGTGCAAAAGTTAAACGTGTATATATATATCATAAATTAGTTCAAAAAGCAAACATTATGTTTTCTGTGAAAACCGTTCTATTTCTAAAATCAACCCGTCCACGAATGCCTGATCCGTACATTTGAATTCTACAGTGATACTAGCAATAACCTTTTTCTGCTGTTCATTACTTGTAGTAGTAGCAGTATTGCTACTACTACTATCGTTCAATAACGACGAAGACAGCGTTTCATCTTTTTGCAGTTGTAATGAATCTTCAAGAGAACCATTACTATTGCTGGTATTACTAAATTGTTCAGTCTTATTCAATTTAACCAGCCCAGCCACTTGGTATCCTTGTACACTCTCACCGTATATCGACGCAGCACCGGGCACCATCTCGACTACGTGTGTACCAGTGAGGAGTGTCGTTAACTCAACTAATGTACTCTGAAATAATTGTTCAGCGGATTGCGATTGTTGCAAGGAAAAGGAAGATGATGACATAAGTGCTGTTGATGTGGTGTCTAATGAAATAGTGGTTGATCCAACAAATGGTAGTTCGGAAGTTTTGGAGACGATCAAGGAGAATCGTTCTGGTGTGATTGGCGGGATTTGTAGCATGTATACAGAGATAGGTATAGGAAAGGTAAACGGAAAGTCGAGTGACGTGTTACTCGACGATTCTTGGGTACCGTCCGAACTCTGGACAAAAAAAAAGATATAAGAGAAAACTCGTCTATTTTTGCAAGTTAAAAATTAATACATACATGTTTTTCACAAGTTAAACGTCCATTCACATATAGTCCTGTTCCCACGATACCAAGCACTCTGAAACTGACGACCGCTTCTTTTTTCTCGTCCTTTACTAATTCGCCGTCTAATCGAAGCAGTGTGCTCTCGAATTGAATGTCTGACGAAGGCTCAAATTTAAACATTATTTGAGAAATAGTATAAGCATCACTGCTGCTGTTAATACTATTATCATCATTTTTTGATATAGATTTGTTGGATATGGTGAACACGGCTACTAGTGACGGTGGCTCGTTTTTTGGTTCTTCTGATGAGGATAGTCGAAGTGAGTAACGCTAAGGGATTTAAATTTAAAAAATTAGATTTTTACTTATACAAAAATTTTATATGTAGACTAAAGGATAACTCACTACTTCAATTCCGTTCTCTTCAATCAGTAGTTTTTTCAATGGCTCGATTTTTTCATCGGCCACTGATTTTTTATTATTATTATTGTTGGTGTCTTTTTTCTTTTTTGATGTGGTTGAAATAGATGATGACTTTTTCTTTTTCTTCTATATTAATAAATAATAATAATATAAGATTAGAGAATTGAATGAACAAGCACAAGTTGAAAATCAAACATTTAATCAATGAATAGAAATATCCATTTACTTTTTCTTCTGAATTCTCTTTCTTCTTTTTTGGCTTTTGAGATTCTGTTTTTTCTTTATTTTTAGAAGACTTTTTTATCTTTGTTGTTGTTGATTGTTCGCCTTCCTTGTTTTCTTCACCCACGTTTTGTTTCGAATTCTTTTTAGTTGATTTTTTTTTCATGGTTTCCTCTTTCTGAGATAAGAATGCATTAATTATATTTCTCCAAACAACCAAACAATTCAATTCATGACAAAAAGAAATCCAAAAACGGAATATAAGATAGACCAACCTTAGGTTTAGCCGCAACGTCTACAGCTTTTGCATGCTTTGCCCTTCTTTCCTCCATTATCTGTCTGTTTATCCTTTCTTCCTCGCGCCTTCTCACCTCCTCCGGACTCAAATACACCGTAGTCTGCGGGAATTTTTCGTCGTCGCCAAGCGGCGTCGACAAATCGATATTCGATATTCCGGAGAAGTCCACGTCTAGTATTCCCTTATTTTCTTCTTGATTCTTTTTCCAGAAAGTCGAAGATTTCAAAGGGGATACTAGAGGATTGCTGATATTATTATTGTTGTCTGTGGAGATGACAAGGCCATCTTTCTCATCATCATCTGTTAGTGTGGCGTTTTCGGGCATTTCGCCAACATCTGTGTATATTATTGGAGCGGATGGAGGCGGTGATGTGGTTTCGTCAACGCTTTCTTTGTTCTTTTTATGATGTTTACGCGATTTTGTTGTGAGTTTTCGACCTTGATTGGGGGGTTTTTTTTAGTTTTTTGATTGATAAGCGAAAGAAAACGCAATTTTAGAAACCAATAACAATAAAAAATTACTTTGAGTATCAAAATCATCCATATTCAAATGAACAACCGGTATCGAATCGACATCAATATCATCGCGCAAACGATTAGATTTAGATTTCTGCTTTTTAGATGTACTATCATCATCGACGCCAATATAATAAGGATCATTCTTCATTCTTTCTTTTCGTTCATTTCGTCTCTGCAAATTTAAATAAGAAAATAAGAAACAAGAAAAAAATTAATTTTGCATAAAAAAACAAATTAATAAAAATACTCACCCTTTCTTTAACATCTTCATCCTCTTCACTTTCATATTCTCTTTGCCCCTTCTTACCCCTTCGTGGTCGTCTTCCAACCGCGGGCCCATTCCCGCTCGAAAACACCAAATCGCCACTCCCGCCCACTTTCTGTCCGTACCCATACCCATAACTTTCTTCATCCTCTCCGTCTCGCTCATTTTCACTGCCTTCAGAATCAGGCAGTGGCTCATTAATCCATGCATCTAAATCCAATCCTTCGGGAATCGGGACTTTTTTTTGAGCTTTTGGCGCGACAGGATTAAGTTCGTATGAGAAGAACAGGGGAGGAAGTTCTGTTATAATGGAGGGAGGTTTTTCGGATAGAGAGATGCTTTCAGATTCGGGGGCGATTGTGGTGATGTTTTGATGAATTATTGTGATCATTTCGCGTACGTTATATGCCTGTATTGTTTTTTCAATAGTTAGTCGACGGATACATAATATATTAGCATTGAATGGTAGATGTTTTAATATTAACTAAGCACCTACCCGTTCTTGAACTTCAAGATTTGTACACGAGCAAAACATTCCAATCTTCTCTTTTATAAACTCTGTGACACGCACCAAATCCTCTTTCGCGTCACGATCCCAATTGTACAAAAGACTATTCGCCCAAAACGAATATATTTTGAGCACGTTGTGAATGTAGACCGATTGAACATTATGCGGAAGTTTTGTTACGCCAGATCGGAGAAGGTATTCAATGACCTCTGGTGGATCATCGAGATAACTAAAAAAAAAGAAAAGGAATAAACATGACTTAGTGATTGCGATAATACAATGATAATTATGATAATAGGAAAATAAGTTGGTCAAAAACCAACCTGCAATATTCACCAGCAACCCATGCAGCTGCATACAGAACTTCTGAATTAGAATCAGACAACGTGCAGTTTTCTAAAAGAGTTGAATTAGAAAGCAACTTTTGCTAAAAAAGAATAAACAAAAAATTATATATTACAAGATTTCCAATGCATATTTTGTTTGCTATCAATAAATATATATATATATATATGTATATACGTACCATAGCTTTCACACAATAATTCCTTACGCTCTTCACACGAACCGCAACATCCATAATCTGCGCCGTCAACAAATCTCCAACTTTGACTCCAGCTACGAAAGTCAAATCGACCAATACGGCCACATACCACTCGAAATTCGTGATATTGCTATAGGAATTTTGAGAGCATATGTACAGAATACGGTTGATGATGTCGGTGCGATAGACCGGTTCTAAAAGTGTTAGTGTCGTGACTGTGTTGTTTTCGTTGTCATCGTTTGAAGAGGGAAGGAGGTGAGCCATTAGACGTTTTACGATGTCTGGAAGGTTTTTTTTATTTACCTGTTGTGGTGAAAAATTTTTGTAAAATGAAAATAATTTGTATTTACACAAGGATATGATTGAATATATTCATACCATTCCGACTACTAGATCTAGTGCACGCAGTCGAATACTAATGTCCGCATCATCTATACATTTTAGTATTATGTCACGGTGTTCGGCGACTAGTCTCGGGTGGGTTGGAAGTATTTTACCCAGTGCCAATAGACCGATATACTTTACTATTTTAATTTGTATCGTTTAGTCAAAGATAAATCATTTGGTATATGTAACAATCGCTTGAGGTCAATCAACCAGCTAATCATTCTCTTTCTTCCCCCAATTTATCTAATAAAAAAGGATACAATTCTGATCAGGATCTTCCAAAAAAATCCGCAACTTATTGACACACATTGATGCCAATGCATCCGAATTCAACGTATTCAACATCCCTCCAATAATTACGGTGTGTATACATTCGTACAGTAACGACATTGCTTCTGTAGTCTGGATTAGGTTGGTAATTGGTGGCAACAATTTTTTGGATAGACGTGGTTCGAGCGGAGTTAATGCTCCAAACTATAGATGAAGGGAAATTGTCGATATTATTTTCATATAAATCAATTTTAATATAGTGAAGATTTTAAAAAAGAAAAAATTACCAATTTTATTATTTTGATGAGCATCCAGTTGTTTGCTGATGTTGTGAGTAGCTTGAATAGCTGCGGAGCGAGCGACAAGTAATTTCTTGGGTTTTTACGTGCCAACTCGCAAACAACATTAACAACAGCCGATACAACAGCTTAAATTTTTAGATACAAATAGGTAGTTAATAATAAATATCAAATAGAGATACGATGTTAGATATAAAGCACTCACAGGGATCTGAATCTTCCAACCGCTCCTTTAACCTCGGAAAACTCAATCGCAGTGCCTCGGGGAACTTCAAAAATATCTTGTACAACACAAGCACAACTTTCTTGCGGACATACGGTCGTGAATGGCCAAGCATTGATACTAAATCCTGCGAGAGATCGCGTGCTAGGTCCGGCGTGACTATGTGTGAGAGACCGTTCAGTGCAACGCCTACTTCGAGATGGTTGCCTGATGCGAGATCCTATTTAATATTATGTTGATTTATGGTAAGATCGTTTTTTTGGTTTGTTTTTGGGCAATGTGTTATTTTAATTTTTAAAAAAATTGCATCTTCAAAACCAATTAAATATTCAATTTGTGCTATTTTTTGATACGAGTAATCAATAAAATCCACGATGTATTAAAAAAAGTAATCACTAATTAAATAAAAATCACCCCATACCTTTTTCAACAGATTCGTAGTCAACATCAAAACATCGGTATCCTGTCGAAACGACTGTGTGGCAGCCAAATACCCAGATCGCTTGTGACTAAACTTTGCAGATGACATGACTTCGACAACATGAAACGACGCCCACGACATATCATATCCAAGCATATGAAGCTTTACAATTTTCAAAATGATATTTTGATTCAACAATAAAAAAATCAATTAATCTACACCCTCGGGATGAACAATATCAATATTAAAAATCATAATTATTCTCACTTTTGTGACATACATATGTAAGTTTGGAAATAGCCATAGCTTTCACGTCTGGGTCATTGCTCTTGACTTCTTTGTGTATTTCCTGGAGACGCTCGGCAATATATTTTTGTTCATTCTTTTTGTTTGCTCGTATGCCACGTATTAAGCCTGTTAGAGTTTCTTCAAACATTTAAATGTAAAAGGAGAGAGAGAGAGGGACTTTGATTGATTTTCTACGATAAGGTGTCTCGTGGATCCATATGTCAAAGAATGCACCCAATCATCTGGTGAGATCTAGTATTAATGTACGCCTGCAATCGTGTGATTGACTTTGCATATAGATGAATAGTGGGATAATCGATTTGGGACAAGTGGAATGTATTTATATTTCTATCGTATAGACTTGAAGTTAATAAACCTTCGCTTTGAATAAAATATAGTACCGACCTCATGATTTTCAAAGGACACGTGTCGTCAATTTTGTATGTTTGAATTGGATAGGAATCGATAGAAATAAGGCGTATCAAAGAGAAAAATTAAAAGACATCGCCATGATGCAAAAAATTGGTTTGCCAGAAATAGCATACAAGTTTTTAATTCAATAATAAAGCATGAATACGAACTATCTGAGGCAGCGAAAAAGTATAACGAATCGAACTTCAAAAAAGTTGCAAGAATACGCTATGACACCTGGTCCTCTGTTGGGAGCCTATATACTGATGTCTATTTTATTCATTAAATTACTTAGCAATTTCTTATTTAAAGATACTGTGCTTCATCCTCCGAAATGGATTGCTCTAACGAGATGACCGAGAAATCATCATCCTGCTAAGACGACACACAAAAAAATAATGTCATAAATATGATACATGTTTGCTTTATTAATTATTGATAAGAGATTCACATTTTTAAATTAAAAGCATCTAGTTTTTATTTTGTTGATTTGTCTCATTAAATTATGTCAGTCTACACAAAATATTAATATAAATTTTCTATATTGAAAGAATAATGATGATGATGATGATAATAATAATAAAAAAAAAAGACACACCCAATTTTCACACAAACTCAATATACAAGCATTAATATTTCACAGTTTTCCTGTTGAGAATATATGTGATTTAAATTATCCCATTCGTTCCGTGAAATCCGGAAAGAAGATACTTCTTTGCGGATCCTGCTTTATCCGTTCATCTTTAAGCATTCTATAAAAAAAATGAAATAAAACCAGATCATAAATAAACTTTTTAATCAAAAAAACCTCGCGCTCGCTCAAAATAATACAAAACAAAAGACACACCTGTTATCCAACCTCGGATCTTCACCCTCAACCCCAATGCTCATTTGTGGCGTCTTTGCCTCAATCACATAATGATTATCACAATGCGGGCAATACTCGTCGGTCTCGTCATAATTCTCCATATCTTTACGAAAAACTTTTTTGCATTTCTTGCACGCGAATACCATTTCCGAGGTCTTGCGAACCGGATGGTCTGATGCTTCGGCGTGACACTCAGCACAGTCAAACCATCGTTTACAGCAGGGTGCTCGAATGGAAACCTAATATGATAACACAAGATTAAAATTGGACAGCGTAAGTAATATGATGATTTTAGTCAAGATCTTAATGACTCATTAATTTAAATTTTTTGAGACGAACCCCACGAATAAAGCTCAATCTCAATTCTAGTCTCTTATAAACCAGTTAATACCTGTGCGTTTAATATGTGTTTGCACATTTTGTGTCTAGAAGCTTGTATTTGAGAGATTAGAATTTTTTTTCTTTTGACGAACAAAAATTTGATATCGATATTGGTAGTTGTTTAAATTTGCGCATTGTTACGATATGATACATATGATCGACGAAGATTTTTTGTGGCTAAGAACAGCAAGGAACAGTCAAGCCATGTAGCGTGGCAGTAACACCAAAAAAAGGACTCATATAGCAATTCTATCGCTATTGTGTCATTTGCTATCACCTCTCTAATATTTTTTGTTTAATGCTTGGGTTTTCTTGAAGTGGTGTCTTGGCAATTTTTTCTATATTACGAGCATTTTTATGAGCTATTGTTTTCTGTGGCTATCTTTCTCAAAATAATTTTTATAATATCATAATATTTCAAAATGAAATTTTGGGATTCTGCTGATTTTTCCGACCAAGGAACAATGGACGAAACGAGTCCGTTTGATTGTTTCAAGCTTACTCGTACACAACGTCTTTATGGGTTTGCTATATGGTGAGAAAATTTGATTAAGAATTATTAATTAATTAATTAATTAATTGCTTGCTTGCTTGTTTGTTTGATTGATTGACTTTGGTTTTGGTTTATTTAGTTTTATTTCAGGTTTTGTGATAAGCTTTCTGGTAATTAATCTTTCATGAATAAATGCATTATGTCTTGTCTTCTAAAGATTAGATTCTAATCTAAAGAATGTTTTATTTTTTCTCTTAATGATTAGTCAACATTGGCACTTTCTACTGGCAACATTACCGGATTTGCTATCTTGTATACTATTGGTAATGTCGTGTCACTTGTCAGGTAAAGAAAGGAAGAAATGTTGTCTTAATAATCGTTATACTTTAATTAATCAATGAGTTTTTGAAATGATTTAAAAGTACGGGATTCTTGGTTGGATTCGGAAAACAAATAAAAACAATGTTTGCCCCTGGTAATATTTCAATGATCATAAATAAATAATGAATAGGCAATGGTGATGATTACAGGACTTGATTTTTTTGGTTGACATTTTTTAGTTCGTCGGATAGCGTCTGCGGTTTTTCTTGCAGCCATGTTGACTACTTTGTTGGTTGCATTCTTAGTAAGTAATCTCTTCCTCGTAAAACCGTTCATCATTCCCGTTCCTAATAATCATATTCATGTCATACTATTTAATCATTACATTAGCTGGGCAGTTTTATCCTTTGTCTAATCATGTGTATTGTACAATTCCTCGCCCTATTTTGGTACAGGTAAGAAATCATCAAATCTCTGATTTTTTCATGTGTATAATAAATTGCTATTTCTTTGGTATTACAATTTTTCTAACGTCATTTTTTAATCAATCTATAACTTTTAGCGCCAGTTACATCCCTTACGGCCGGTAAGTATCAAAATGAAATCTAGAACTAATGTTTTTAACGAATTTTAACAATTCTTATTTCCAATTAATATAGGACGATTATCAAAAAGTTGTTTGGTAGCTGCGTTGATAGTATTTAGACGAATTCTTCTTACCTTCTGGTTCTGGTGATGATGCGGATGACAGCGATGATTTCGCACGATAAATGAAAAAAGACTAGTACGATCTCTTGAAAATTGAAGCAAGCTTTCAATATATTATTAGGTTATTACTCCGATCCACATACATGTATGTGTTGTTTGTTGCTATCAATGTATTCTATACGGTCCATTTGATTATTTATGTTATTTATTTATTATTTATTCTTGTGTAATAACAATATTTGTCGAGTTCTAATTGTATAGATTATTATGTTTTTTGGGGGCTGAGTATATGGGCATGCTTAGTGTTGTTTTTCAATTCGGCACAAGTCGATCTCTAAAAAATTTCGATAGTACCATAGAACACTTAAAAATACTCAGGGTCTCAATTAATTATATATTCCACGTACAAATTGATTAGGAATTTGGGCACGGGACGGATGAGTTATGCGGTATTAAAAGTTACCCCGAAAAAGTTACGTCATTTAATAAAATGTAAGCATGGTGAATCCGAAATTTAATCCGTCAATCTGATATTAACGAATTAAAATTTTGGATTTACTTGCTAGAGAACGGCTGGCGCGTCATATACGCATTTATCATGATCATGCTATTTAATGACTGTATAGAGAAATGCTATATCCAAATATAAAATCAAGAGATATTTCTCAACTTTTATTATTACTCATGCTAGTCCCTTGTTGATTAATATATAAAGCATGCTTCACACAGTGAGATACCCAAAATCTTCATTTTTACATATCATGTATGCATACATGATGAAATATATGCCTGCATATTATCCAAAATGATTGATGTCACATTCATTCCAAAAATTCAGATTAACTTAATTCGCCACGAAGATTCGCGATTTAAACAAGAGCGATAAACTGTCTTCAAACAAACATCAACTATTATTATTATTATTATTCTTGGCGGTGATGATGACGATTATTATTATTGTCCTCCAAAGGAGACGAAGGTGAACTCGCAGCCGGAAAGGGATCATCTTTTCTCGCATCATTAATTATCTTGTCTATTTTCTTTTTTTTAACAGCGTCCTACGAAAAAAGGTAATCATCGAAAGTATAAATTGAACCAAAAAAAACTAATTTCTCGGTAAAATTTGAAAAAATAGTATTTCCTCTCGATGTCAATTCGGGCATTTTCTACTTTCAAGACTAACCAACACAGCTAAATACGTACCAGCACACAAGTACGATACGCCTCAAATAGTTCGTTGCATTCAGGTCGCACGTCGCCTTTAAGAAATTTTTCAGAGTACCACTTATTAAAGCATGTGTCGTATTCGATTTTCAGTTCGTTGCAGTTTGGCCCTATACTTTGAGACATTTTTTTACTATTTAAGCGATCACTTACATCCAGAAGTCCCAATGGAAGGGACACGTGTATATGATTTAAGTCGACCTGCAGATCTTCACTACTCTCATCTTAATAAGCTTGGATTATCACAAACTCTCTCTAATTTTTTAACATTAGTAGGTAATGAGATTATAATTTTTAAAAATGAAAATAATATTAATAAAATTATTATTTATAAGTGTAACAGTATCTTAAATTAAAATGGACACAGCTTAAACATATTTTGAACTTGTGAAATAGTAAATAGCATATTACTCTTATATCAACACATAAAAATTTTCAATTTTATTATATAATTTTATCTGAATAAAATCTTAATATATAATAATTAAGTATATTAAATAATTTATCTTATTAATGTAATAATTCTGAATGAAATATTTATTTTTCTCTTTTATTAATTTTAAATATTAAGGTAAGGAAGACAAATGGCAGGGCCTAGAGACATAATGTGAAAATGAAGGTTGGAAAACATGCGGTACATGCCCACAAACCAGCCAACAAAGGCATGTGCATGCTAGAAGGATCACGATATAAGTGAACCAGGTAAACCATGCGAGAGGTAAAAATGTAATTTTTGTTTTGTGAGTTGGTAAACATCTTAGTTGTATGTTCTCGGATGTAAAGAGAGAAACCTTTATACTCGTTTAGGATAAAGCAATATTATTTATTTATCAAGGGCATAGTGATTTATAATATAATTTAACGTTAATGCATGTGAGCAATTTTAATCCTGTTTTTCTAATCACAATTCAACATCCAAAATTGCGATGAATGCATCTGCCTTTTTAAATAAGCCTTTTGATATTAAATATGCATGCAGCAAAGCAAGCAAAAATAAGCTTGAATAATATTATTCAACTACAGATGGTTTGGTGTATAATATTAGCACAAGTAAGGTTTAAGTAAATTTTATTTAGAATAAATGTAATTGTAACAACTTCAAAATTGAATATTTAAGATTAAGGTTAGGTTAATGTTGGAACGACGGTCTTTCAAAAAGATAAAAATTCGCTTTTTGTATTTCACTTTTCATCCTTTACACAGCACGCAGAAATATTTGCACCCCGATGCGTTCTTCGATCCTAATGCTCAACCTCGACAGGATCCAATTGGTGCTCAATAAGGTGGGCGTACACAAAAATGAATCCGTCAAGTTTTTTAAAAATGACACATAAATTTAGTTTTAAAATTAATTTTTAAAAGCTGGGTTTTAAATGACCATATTTATTTGCATAATTTTCTGTTATTAATAAAGCTGACTCATAGGCTTAAACAGCCGCGCATTTCATTGATAACTTTTTAAAAAGATCTTTGATTTTTTATTCGATAATAGAGAAAATATCTCTGTTGACTATCTACTTGCTAGAAAACGTTAATTTTTTACACACACCTACGTCTCACCATAAAATTTATTAATTTTAAACTAGCACCAATATGCTTGTGAAGTTCACAGAGCAATCATCATTAATACAGTAAAAAACCGAAATATTTGGGAACGAAGTATCTTAGCAATTTACCAAACTTCGAAATGAATGCTGTCGAAAATGTCCTAATTTGAACTATCATTTCTTATCCTATCTTTAAAGCTCTGCGCGTTCGATCTTTTTGCGATTAGATTCGGGTTTTGTTTAAGAATTTCAGCCTCCTCGATACTAATGTCAGTATGCCCAGTCAAGAATTGCAGTGCTCACTTTCTAACATGAGTTGTAAATCTTTGCTTCTAACTACAAATTCGTGTATATCTAAAATTGATATGCTTCAAATAGTATCTATGTTTAATTAATATAAAATATTTTAAACATTTAAGTTTTAAATTATCAATTATAAAAAAACATCAAGTTCTAAGTAAAGTTATAGCTCTTGTTCCTAGATACAAATTGCCTACATTAAAACCGAAATTAAACAAATGAAGGAAAAACATTTAGTTAAACGTTAGATAAATTAATATCGACGATATTAACACAATCGAATTTAAGCTAACCCTGTAAAATTGAATTATAACTATTTGAAATAAAATACATGATCATAAATTTACTGGTGAGTGTAACTTATACACACGATTCAAAAATGTTAGTCGTCGCGAAAAAACGTTCTTCTCTCAAGAGAAATTTTCCAGAAGAGTTAGAATATAATACCAATACTAATAATTATTTAAGTAATAACAATGCCAAGAAAAATCCAGCAAAAAAGACCAAAATAGAAAAAAGAGACAATAATAAAAGCGTTGACTCAACGTCGACTAGCACAACAGTAATAACTGTTGGGTCAAGTGAAGTTGAAATAAATACTGTCAATTTAGGAGAAAAAACCCCGGATTTTTTGAACACCATTTACAAGTTGGCGAAAGGACTTGATGATCCAGCTATCCGGCACAAACAGCAACGCGACGCCATTAAGATTCTACACTCTGTAATGCAAAATCATTTACTCAACATTCTACTCGATGACAAAGCCTCAGATATCTTGATGTGTGTTTTTAACCGAGGACGAGCCCCTATTAAGAAAAAGATCCTGATTGAACTTGAAGGTGATTTGTTTCAAATCGCGCAGACAGATAATGGAAGACGATTGATTGAAATTATGCTGAGAGAACGGTCAATTGAGAAAGCACGAATTATCCAAGCATTTTTCGGGAAGGTGTCCGAGTTGCTGAAGAATAAAATTGGCAGTTATATCATGGAGGCTGTCTACACTGAGTCGACTTCCGATCAAAAAGCTCGGTTTATTTCTGAAGTTTATGGAATAAAGAATAGCAATGATAATTCAATATTAAAGTTAAACGGCATAATCGATCAAAATGTGCTTCGAAAAAATGAAATTCTTTGTGTGGTAGCTCGAAATATTCTTAATATTGTAAATGAAGAGACGATCAAACATACAATTGTCCAAGATATGATCATCGAGTACTTGACCCATACACAAATCAAAGAGGGTCAAATAATTACAGGGAAAATTAACAAATTTATTGGGTCAATAGTGAATACCAAAAACGGAATACATCTTGCCAGACTTTGTTTCTATCATGGGACAGCAAAAGATCGACGAATAATGCTAAAATCAATGGTATCAAAATTCGCATCGCTATGCAAATCCGAATATGGTCATCTACTCATAGTCACCATATTCGAATCTGTGGATAATGTTGATATGGTATATAAAGTCGTGCTCACGGAAATTATTCTAAATCTACAAAAAATAATGGAAAATGACTATGGTAGGATATGCCTCGTTCATTTGCTTACCGGACGTTCAGCACTCTTACCACAGGAGACTAAACGAGCCTTGGCAAGCATGGATCACATTCGCTCGCGAGCCAGTCAAAAAGATACCAGAAACAAAATGAAAAAACTCGCGAAAAAAATATCGCCCGTTTTATTTAGATATATTAGAGATTATCCCCATAAATTTTTTGTCAGTGATAACACGGGAATGATATTGTGTGTCGTGTTGTTCTATGCGAATGGTAATTGGGTAAAGGCGGTCAATAGGTTAATTGAATTCATTAAAGCCACACCACCACAACAGAATGTAATGTTGTCGCAGTATAATCGGTATCTTTGTATGCTTGCTCATAACAGATTCGATCTATCGCAGAATTGGTCACTTATGGCGGCACCACCTAATAATTTGGACTTTGCTGTGAAATTATGGGGGTGTATTCGGAATCATTTAGAGTTTTACGCAACTAATGCTGCTAGTTCTCGCGTTTTGGCGTCTCTTTTGAAGATCAATAAAGTTAAGTCACAAGTCAAGATTGCATTGAAGCCTCATGAGGAGGTGATAAGACAGACTGCGAATGAAAATTGTCCAAGTATTAATTGGGTAGCTCAACATTTTGGTTGGACAAAATTCTATACTAAGGAATCCATTGATTATTAAAATAGAAATAAATGTATCTGTAGTTTCATTCCCTCGCTTATATCTAATTAATTCGAAACATGTCGAATAATTAATTTATGTAATTTTATAATTTGCTCGTGAATATATTAAGTTAAACGTTTTGTTAATTCCAATACATTAGTATGTGAATCTCTAAAAAGCAATATTATATTTACAGTGTTAAACATAGATTGAAGATTGTCTCACCTCGGAAGTTAGTGTTCCTAAGTTCAATCGAGCTTTTTTCGAAGTCAGTTCGAACTTAAGTGGCCTAATATACTAAGTAAAGTTGTAGAGCTCAACTAGAGCTACAACACTGAATAGGATGTTCTATAATAAAAAATTGCTATTTATGGAAATATAGATAAACTTTTTAACTTATATCCATAAATAGCAGCTTTTTATTATTTAGTATCTTATACAGACTTGTAGCTCTAGTTGATTTCTATAATTTTACTTAATAGCGTTTTAATAGATTCAATATGTAAAAATAAATAGTTTTATAAAAATAAAAATTATTTCAAAATTTAAAATAATTTTTATTTTTAATAAAATCGTTTATTTTACATATTGAATACATTAAACACTTTTAAGTAAAGTTATAGAACTCAACTAGAGCTACAAAACTGTATAAGATACTCTATAATAAAAAACTGCTATTTATGGAAATATAAAGCATTAATGATAAACTTTTGAAAATCATAATAAAAGTTAAAATTTTTCATAGAAAATGCTTCAAGTAAAATTGAAGGCCTAGTTTAAGGCTACAATTTTTACTAATATACTTGGGTTTGAACTGGTGTTTCTAACTGAAACATCGAATCAAACTTGAGCATAGATTTTAAATGAATTCAAAAAATCAAATAACTTTTTTTTGAATTCAAGTTTAAAGTGATAACAAAAACATCTATTGAAATATTTGACATTTAAAATAAATTATTTTTTATTTAAAATTAAAATAGTTTAGTTTTTTAAATAATATTTTTAATTTTTTAATAATAATTGTACAAAATGATTCTAAGCAATGTTGTAGCCTTTATTTTTAGCTACATATTTCACTAAGGTAGTCTATAATAAAATATTGCTATTTATGAGAATATATTGTATTTACGTGGATAAATTAAATAGTTCTGTCTAATTAAAGTTAAAATTTTGAATTTTATGCTTATAAGCAAATTGTAGTTCTTGTTTGGGGCTACAATAGAGGCCTGAAAAAAGTCTGAGCTCGAACCCGTATTTTAGGTTCGAAATTCGAACTGGACTCAAACTCGAACCTGGAAAAAAAGTTAAAATTTCAAACTCAAACTCGAACCGGACTCGAACTCGAAATTTGGAATTGGTTCGAGTTTGGTTCAAGATCAATCTCAAATGTAATAGTAAGAATTGTAGCCCTTGTTTAGGGCTATAATTTTACGTATTAAAAAAATTTTGACTTTTAATTAGACAGAACTAAAATATTTTTATTTAAATGATTATAATTTATCATTAAAATACAATATACTTTCATAAATATCAATATTTTATTATAAAGTACCTTGATAAAAATTATAGCTCTAGTCAAGAGCTATAATTTGCTTATAAGTGTAAGGTATATTTACTATTCAAAATTTTGACATCGATTAGACAGAACTAAAATATTTTTATTTGAATAATTATAATTTATCATTGTAAATACAATATATTTCCATAAATAACAATTTTTTATTATAAATTATCTTAGTGAAATTTGTAGCCCTAGATAAGAGTTACAATTTTATTTATTTATACTTATTTGTGCAATTCTTATTAAAAAGTGAAAAATATTGTTAAAAAACTAAAATATTTTAATTTTTAATAAAAAAATAATTTATACACTTTAGTGGTTTGATTTGAGCTCGAACCAGACTCGAACTTGAAAAAAAGTCGGGTTCGATTTTTCAAACCTACATCGAACCTAAGCTCAAGTCCGGCCCGAGTCTGGTTCGAGTCCGGTTCGAGTTCGAACCAGACATTTTTCAATTCTTATAATATACTCGTTCACTAAACTAAAACACGTCCACATCATCAAATTCACGCAAAAAAACATCTTCGACCATAAACAGCTAATGAAATAAACACCTCTTCCACAAAATCTTTGAATTCGGAAATAATTAATTGTATATGCGAATTTCCGGTATTGTTCATCAATTACAATTTCATATACAACCATTTCAAAGCTATAAGCATTAATATACAGTTTTTCAGACCAATCTAAAAAAGTACTTAACCAATTTCGATTTGATTTTTTTATATTTGCTGGCACGATCAAATTATTAATTCGCAGCCCATCAAATAATAAACCAATACATAGACACACTATCTAAGTTTCTCCATATCATAAGAAAGCTCACAAGAAAAGAATGTTGTTGCAATCCCTACCAATCCCTCACTTGGGCCTTTTGGCAGATTTAGGATTTTTTTTATGCCCATTCTTCGACAACTCACTATTCGGCATAAACACTACGCCATCCTGCCAAAGACGCTTCGCGATCACTGTCATATTTCGCGTATCGTCAATCCCAGAGTGTAGGTGCCCCTCAAATTGTAGACCATAGTAAGCTAACATGGCTTCGATATTGCATCTTTCGCAGTTGTATGTCTCGGCAAACAGTTTTCGTATGTCGACCCATGGAAGTGTGAAGTAGGATGGTCGTGGTATTTGTGAAATGTTGCATTGTTTACGAATGAAATCTCGAATGTCCCATGGACCTATATGAAAAACAAGAAATTTATGTAATACTCGATTGCTGACAGTGATTTTAAATAACTAAAATCTTAGTTTCTTAATTTTACCGTCCGTTATAAATGCACAAGAACTTCCATAGAAGAGCTAAAAGAGATGATAAAAAGAGTTGGTATATTTATAAATTCACTAGAAACGAAATATAATAACAAAAAATGCATACCTGATATCGATGCAAGAATTGTTGAAAGTCATTCAACATTTCTGGAAACGACGGGCTTGCATCAATGGTAGACTAATAATTAAGAAAAGAAAAGGAAATCAATTAGAATTCTCAACCAATCTATACGATATATATAAACTGAAAAATATAGTATACTTTTTTGGTCAAAAATATTAATTAACCTGTGGTATTCCGGTTAGCTTTTTGCAAAATTCTGTCAAGGTCGGATTCACACTGGGTTTCACGTATGAGTGAAAGACATCAACCTATTAGAGAAACGTTGACGACAATAATGAAGTAATAAATTATGAATAAACAAGAACAAAATTCAGTTACTTTTATTAATAAACCATCGCCAATATAACTTACAACTTCAAAATTCTTACTGTCTATTAAGAGGACCGGGAACTCTATTATCTCATGAAAGTAATCGAAAGTGCCGCCCTCTTCACAAGTTGCTTCAACGTCAAAACATAAGTAATGTTCGAACGGCTGAGGCTTAGGATTTCTTTTGAAAGGAAAAATATTATCATTTCAAAAGCATGTGCAAAGTAGATTTAACTTTTTTTTTGTATTTAAAAACCTACGATTTCGAGGATGTAAAGAATTCAACAGGCTTTTCGTTTTCAACTTCTCGATCTGAATGTATTGGGTCAGGCGGTGACGATGATAGTGATGGAGAAGTTTGTGCAAATGTTTCATTTGAATTTTTATTATCTTTTGGTATGTGTTTTTCATTTAGAAGTTGCGTGAGGTTCTTGTTGCCATTAGCGTTATTATTGGTGGTGGTAGAAAATTCGTTGACCGGATTCATGTAATGCCTCAATCTTTCAGCCAGCACTCTTTTACGCCCACGAGGATCTAGTCCCAAGCTAGAGAGTTGCGCACGCAAAGCTTCCACTGATATTTTATTTGTGTTACGAATTGTTTGCCACGAAGTCATGATTTTTTAGAGGAAAATAAAAATTTTTATCTTTGATCTGATAAATTAATTTATTTGATGACCTGTGCCATGCGAGTTGATTTGGTAATAACGATAATAAGGATAATTTTTTATTTCTAAATTTATCTCTGTTATTTAAATTATCTCGATCACATGTCATATGAAAAATAAACATTATTATTCATCAGCTGTAACCTCACACAGATGATGTATACTCTTCAACGGCATAATCAAATCAAGATGCAACTGCATAACCGCCGCCCAGCATTGATTCTTACTCATAGTCTCCAAGAAATAATATAAATCAAGAACGAAAAATATCGAGAAGATCGAAGAGAAGATGAGTGCCATGATCGCTTCGAGCATTGGGAATTTTAGGGGGATTAGCATGGTTACCAGTGTGGTAGAAATTGTAAGAATTATGAACGTGTATACACTGATTTCACCGTCGGCGTCGAAAGCGAACGATTACGCCGATTGAGCGAACGATTGCGTTGATTTATAGTTGTGATTGTTAGTGACATGATTGATCCGCATTGTGATACATAGAAAGTTAACATGAAGATATTACACTTACATTGTCTGTTTACTCTTAAAGTTATATCTTGATTGAAATGTGTAGAAAATCGACGCCAGAAATACAAAAAATACTATTATTAATCCGCTGAATATAATCTCTAGTTTAAGAACCGTGACTATACGAAAATGAAAAATATATAGATCTCTTAATGATTTATAGTTTCTATCTATTCATTAAATTTAAGATACTTTCGTAATACTCACCAATACCGCCAATCACAAACCCCTCTAAAAACGTAAATACCACCACCAAGAACGGCGGCGGTTGAAATTGATCATTCGCCTTATATGTCAGCGCCAACAACAGTATAAAAGTTAATACGAAGGATATGTACCAAAGCCAGGGACTGTGTGCGATTTAAAAAAGATGAGAATCAATAACAAATTTTTTTTTCTCTCGGGAAAGTAGTACAAAGATTAGTCGAAAAATACTCACTTTCTTAGAATAAAATCTCGTCCACTATCCGTGTAATAGAGCAACGACGTTATGGTGATAAAAATGAGGACTTGTGAGCTTAATATGATGTAAACTTTACGCACAAACTCTTTAAACAATTTTTAAAAATTAATAGCATTTAGTAAAACAAAACGTGTAACCAACTTAAATGAGCCAAATTCACCCACTTGACAAACATTATAAACAAAAAAAAATAAGTATATGCCTCTGAATTCAACAGCTTCATTAAATAAAAGGTGATATATCTTACCCATTTGAGTTTTGATTCCACCCAAGGAAACCGGAACACCAAACGGGTAGTCAGGGTCATTGGCAAGGATACCAGCATAATTCGTATTATTGTTGTTGTTGTTGTTGTTTGATTGTGTAGTTTGTGAATCAAATGTTTGATATGACATTTCTATTAATAGTATGGAAGAAGCAGTTAATGACAAAGTTTCGAGCTGTGTGTTGGCAAAAGGCAAAATATATATATGTCGATGATAATCAATTTCGCCAAATGACCTCATATGAGAATGACTTTTTAATGACCCCATACATGACCAAACGAACAAATCATATGATCAATAAATATAAAAGTTAGTGTTAGTATTTTCTCTTCATTACTAAATCAGGAAAAAATGCCTTTTGGACAAGTAAATATTTTGCTTGGAATCTCTCGTGCCTTCTTAAGAATACCTTTTAACTTATCTTTTCTTAGGTTGTGATAGGTCCTCCAGGATCAGGAAAAACTACTTACTGCAATGGCATTCAACAATTCTTAAACACGACTGGAAGGTATTCAAACAAGCTACCTCTGATCTAACAATCTAATCTCTATTAACTCCTTTGCTTACCTCTGGATATATAAAGAAAGGTATCAGTCATAAATCTCGATCCGGCAAACGATTTTCTTCCATACAACTGCGCAATCAACCTTGCTGAGTTGATTACGCTGGAAGAAGTAATGAAGGAATTCGAGCTCGGTCCAAACGGGGCTATGGTGTATTGCATGGAATTTTTGGAAAAGAATTTTGATTGGTTTGAGGAGAAATTGAAGAGTTTAGGAGGTTTACCGTTTTTTAGTTCGACCTTCTTCGCATTGACTTCATAGCAAAAACTGTTGATGATGTTATTAATATTGCCTGCCTTATCATGTTTAGATGACTATTTATTGTTTGATTTCCCCGGTCAAGTGGAACTATTCACTCATTATGATTCAGTGAAAAATATAATTGAACGATTGGCAAAAAAAAATTTTCGGGTATTTTTTTTTCTCGAGTGACTCTGTTGCTTGTTTTGAGGATTTACTTGGTTATATTTATTTTTTTATTTTGAATAGCTTGTTACCGTTCATCTTGTGGATGCTCATCATTGTACTGATCCAGCGAAATATATATCAGTGTTACTTTTGTCACTAAAAACTATGTTGCAAATAGAATTACCGCACATAAACGTACTCTCGAAAATAGATCTAATGGAATCTTACGGAAAACTGGGTAATTCACATATTTTTCTATTATTATTTTCACTTTATTCTTAATAAGAAATCTTTGATGATTGATGGTAAATTTATCCCATTCATTGATAGCTTTCAATCTGGAATTTTACACTGAAGTACAAGATTTATCCTATCTTTTATATCATCTGGATGAAGATCCATTCGCAAAACGATACAGTGATTTAAACAAAGCTTTATGCGGCCTCATTGAAGATTTTGGTCTTGTCGGCTTCCAAACACTCTGTATACAGGTAAATTTAATCTATTATGATAATTGGTTCACTCATCATTGCGTTCTTATTTATTTTCGTTTCGAATGTTGACAGGACAAAAAATCCGTATTGAATCTAATTCAAGCTATCGATAAAGCGAACGGATACGTATTCGGCGGTTTAACACAAGGAAATGAAAGTATCATGCAAGCGGCAATGCGAGCCGACCTTTCTTACAATGTATCTGATGTACAGGAGAGATGGCTGGATCATAGGGATATTTGGGATGCATGGGAGACGACACACCAGCAAGAAACTTCAGATGTTCCGAAGACTCCTTTATAAAAGACATTTCACAAAGTTAATAATTAATTTTGAATGTTATTTAGTTCGTTTTTTTTTAGCAATTGGATTCTTCTTAACTTTTGTCTTGGCTGCTCATCCACTGATATATATAAAAGCCGACTGACGAGTCCCTTGAGCAAGGACGAAACATAGTGAAAGAACATTGTTTGTCCCCATACAATTAATTAATGTGTTACTAATGTATTAGATTTGATCAGAAATATTTCATAGAAACTGGAGATGGTAAATGAACTGAACTTTTTTGAAATGGCCATGAATAAAGGAATTTGGAAAACCAAATTTCTCTAATAATTGTCGGCACATATATGATTTGCAATGCATTATTCTTTCTAGTTTTTTCTTTGCATTAACATACATCACATGTTTTTATATAGTTTTCAATATCAAAATGCATTCTAGACCAATAGTAATTTTGAGCAATTCTGTGATAAGTTATTTTAATATCATAATATTCAGTATGTATTGCTGCATGATTATTGAATAACACTTCTTTTATTTTACTTTAATCATTTTTAAGAGTTGGTCTGGCTTTTTCTTATTGTATCTATATTATTACCATTTTAAGATTATGCGTATGTAATTATTTTAAAATGGTAATAGTGACTATGTTCATGGCAATTAATAATTTTTATAACTTTAAAAGATTATATGACTGATTATTCTTTCAATAAGGAGATGTATATAAGATTTACTTTTAATAAAAATATGATTATCTTCTTAATAAGATAATTTATATGTGTTTTATTTATAACGAAAATACGATTATCTTCTTAATAAGATAATATATGTGAATTTACTTCTAACAAAATGCTCTCTCAATAGAGCAAGAAGAAAATAAGATAAGATATAAGATAAAATATATGTATTTATTAAAGAAAAAT